AAAAAAAGATGTGGTCACGCTCACTTTTCTTTGAGCGAATGCTCTTCTTTTTTGTTACCAGTCTCGAGACAATTTTCGCGATTTTTTTTTTGTCGAATTAATTTTGTGAAACAAATTTTAGATTTTATAAAATAGGCTGAGTTTCCTAAAACTATAAACAAATAATGATCAACGTTGTTTTTTTTTTCGTTATTATGTATTCCAATAATAATAAATATTTGTGATAGGTTCACTCTTGCCCCTCATTGTACACAGAATAAAATCATCGAAAAATCCCACTGTTTGGAATTTCCCTGAGAAATAAATTTCGTACGATATGTCGTTGCAGTGTGTACATTATTTCATCGAATTTTTATTTCGCGAGCACGTGTCAGGGTCACTTTCTTCGAATCCATTTTACGCACGTGTACATCGAAGCGTGGCATCCTCGAGCTCGAAATAATTTCTCGCGAAAACTGCTCTACCTCTGACGAAATTTTGTTTCGTCTTTTCTCGCCAATTTTCTAGAGAACCATATCTTTTTTTTTCTGTGTCGATTCAATCCTTCCTAAATGCGATCGTTGTATTGAATTGCATTGAACGCAATAGAAGTGGCAACGTTATCCGTTACAGCGATCTATTGTGCGTAATAAAAATACTGTGCGTCACATCATCGATTCTTTTTTTTTTTTGTTGTGACAACACTGCTACGTAGCCTGATTATCGACACATGCTCGTAAGCGAATTATTCATCCACCAGACCGTCCAGAAATAACACCTCTTGTCTCATACTACTTCGCGTCTGACTGCCGTCTGTTACTACTGCAAGCAACTGTGTATCGAAAATAGAGTATGTTCTTTATTTTGTTGTTTTTTTTCTTTTAATAAGAAGTGAGCAAGTTTTCTTTTGCTTCGTGTCTTTCATCGTGTTTTAGAATTTTATTTTTATTTGCCTGGTTTATCGAGCAATGAATGCAGTTGCATAAATTTAAAATATGCACCGAGCAAATTACATAGGTATAATTTTAAATACTTGTTTATCGCTCGTCAGCTTCTTGATTTTCATGGACCTGGTATTGAAAATTTGCACACTAGATGGCAAAAGGCTATCGATAACAAGGGCGATTACATACACGATTAAAAATAGAAATTTATTAAAGATTTGTTCGAATTTAATGTAAAAGAAACGAGATTACTTTCCAGTTTACGTAGCAGCAAAAAATAGACACGGATACTAATCTACCCTCGAAAGAAAGTTATAGCAAAGTATTCAAATATAGGGAATTCAAGTTACTCCCCTCGAGTCTCCAAGGGTTAAAGAGAAACGACGCACGACTCGATCGAGCAATTCCGCCAACGATGAATCGATAGTACGCCCTTAGCCGCAGGTAGAGAAAAAGAGCACGACCACAACCGCCGTTTGGAAACCTAGCCGGACACGAGAGAGATCTGTCAACTGCAAGCCGCACTTATCCTGCCGATAGTCCGAATGACCGCCGATTTGGAAACACGCCGGGCGGTCCCGTTCGCCACAGATTACCCGTCTACTTGATATATTCAGGGATGCTCCGCGATAATCGCCGATACACGTCGGCAATTCGGAATCCGAAAATTTCCTGGCAGAACAGATGGCGCATCCTTTCGCGGAAACGGTCGCTCCTAGTGATCCTCTAGGTAGCGATCGGACTAACCGACGCCAGCGAGGCAACAAGCGGAAGTGACCACTCTGACGTCAAACTTTAAACGAATTTGAATGTTAATCGGAATGTCTCTGTAGAATGTTTAACTAAATGACACACATATTAAATACGATGCAACCTTCTCGAAGGCGGCGCAAAATTAAACATTTTTTATTTAGACTCGAGTTAGTTTTTGGTGGGAAATACTGTTTGAGAGGGTTTGATGTATTTGTTTTGGCGAGGGAGGAGGGCAATATTGCATATAATTAATGATGGTATTTGGTGAGGGCGTTGATATTGCATAGTGTTAATGTGTATATGTATATTGTCTGACAGGGTTTGATGCATACAGTTAATGATAGTATTTGGTGAGGGCGTCGATATTGAATAATGTTAATGTATACATGTATACTGTCTGAGAGGGTTTGATGCATACAGTTAATGATACTATTTGGTGGGAGGCGATGATATCGAATAGTGTTAATGTACATGACTTCTAAAGCGGATATAATAATAGTAAAAATCTATCTCTACATTACACCTAGTTAAATGCGTTCAGCTGTTACGAAGTACCTACATATTTACGTAAACACTACAGTAATTATTGCACCTACGCGAATAAAAATAATATTCCACGCAGGTGAAACCGTGGGGCGTAGCTAGTCAGAAATAATAGACGATCACCACTTACAGGATCACTCGTGCTTCTTGACGCCATCGCGCCAAGAGTTTTGCGTTTCTGCATGTCTCAGGGGCGTGCGTACCCCGCGGGCTCCCCTACCTGCTTTCATTTTCCCCCTTGTTCCTCCCACGTCCCTCGATCTTCTGTTTCTGTCTCATTTTCTCCCCTTTTTATTCATTTCCCTTCGTCCTTTTCCATCTTTCCGTTCGCCGTTCTTCTCGTCCTTCTAACGCCGTTAGCTTCTGTTTAGGCTCGCACATTTTCTCCCCCTCCCACCGTCACCCTCAACCCCCCTCTCACAGTCATCTATTCGACTCAACTCCACCAGGTTCCGCGTAGAACGTCTTCACGGATTCGGCCTTTGTTTCGCCACCGATCCTTTGTGAATTTCATAGTCAGCTGCACGAAATCGAGCCCCGCGGCTCCGTTTACTTTTTCTAGGATGCCCCCGCTCTATTTTTAGCCGGTATCCGCCGAAAAACCGAGGCGGTTCCGCACGTAAGCCCCGTGCACGCGCGCGGATGCGCAAGCTTGAAACGCGCGCGACGACGGAACGCGTCCGTCGGGGATATTTTCCGTGGATCGATTCCGTTCGGATGGAAACAAAAAATAATTTGCACGCCCGCGCTCGCACTAGGGAAGTTCCATCGTTCACCAACTAATTTTGTAGTTGTATCGCGTTCCCTTCGGTTTTCCATACAAGTCATACGATACTTATTTTATATTTAATTGTGTTATATATGATATTTTAATTTTTACTGACAGTATGGCCAGAAATGCATGATTACGATTAAAAGTGAAAGTTAATATCGTTTAAATGCCCACCGCGACTACACTGACAAAAGCCTACAGACTCTTTTAATCCCATTAATTTTTCAATGAAAAATTGCAATTTTATTGAAAGTCTACCTTGTTTCTTTAAACATATTCTAAATAGAATTAACACAAGGATTGTAACATTACCAAGGACTCTACCATAGTGGAAAGAACAACAGGTCTTGAACCAAATAAACCTCTACGTTTGGTATTTATCCACGGTGTCTATTCCAACCCGAATGTACCGCAAACTGGTATTCCCTTTAGGAAGACCTACAATTAGCATTCCTCTGGCTCAATCATGGACTCCTTCAAACCTTTCAAGTATTGTGAAATAAAATTCCAAGCACTGTATCGAGGGTTCTTGTGACTTCTGTATCGGTAATACTAAGGCTGTCGTTTATTCTCACGACCGAGGTGTTTTTGTGAGAAATCCCTCGTGGGATCCTCGGTGAAGCTGGAAGAATTGGGAGCAGCCACCGTGGCGGGATACGCTGGCGTTAGCATCTAAGAGTTAATGATCGGTTCCGCATGGCCTAAGGAAAATAGTAACGTTTGTAAATGGTGCCCTCGACGCGACTCGATCGTGACCGATGGACGTCGCAGCGTTCCTCGATGGCCTTACACGTGCCAGCAATCTGTGGATGCCATTGGCCTGTGCCGTGAACTTCATCCTCGTCGAAGGGACCGGCAGAGAATCTCGAATACAAACGCCAAAACGAGACGGCTGATTGCGTAACGCGTATTCTTCGCTTCTTCTCTTAGACGAGGATGCTTGTTTGTTCGTTTGGTCGATACGTGCTAGGATAAAGCGTGCCTTTCGCGAAAATTCTCATAAATATTCGTCATTGGTTGAAGAGAGATGCTTATTAATTGATTCGCTGGCTTCTGCAGGCGTCGCCTCTTTGCACTACGAGAATTCCTTGGACAATTCTGTTTTGTACGAGCGATTAGACGTTTTTATAGGCGTTGAAAATTAAAAGGATTCGATTTTCGTAATGACTCTTTTTATAATATTAAGTTACTTATATAACTTCACTTATTCATGTGAAGATTATTGAAAACACGTATTATGCACAAACATTTATTTACATTTAGTGCAATCGGAATTGTACGAATACTTTGTGGCTTCAAAATTTTGGTATTTTCTTGTTCTGTACTAGTTTAGTGTTACACGTGAATTCTTAATTTACACATAATATACAGGGTGGCGCACATAACTCTTAACAGCTTAATATCTCGGAAACTATGCCATCGATTTTAAAGTTCTTGGTCTTAAATTGCACGGATCTAAAAGACCTTTCTAACTAAATACATAAACGTGAAGTGCCTCCCCCTTCTCCTTTAAGAAGGGCGGGGGTACCTTTATAATTTTAAATGGAACCCCTATAAAACGTTACGTATATTTAGATTGTACAGGAAAAACTTAGTAAATTCTGTTTGAAACATTTTTTTGTCAGATATTTCCATAATGAGATATGACAATTTGAAGTGTTGATTTGTAGATACTTGAAGCGCTCGGAAATCGCCCCTTATTTCGGCACACGATTATAAAAGAAAAATAAAATTCAAGCTGCACAGAAAAACAGTGTTCTTTAGCATTAGTTCATAGCGTTGCCACGCGAATCGAAAAACTCTAAATAAAATAGTAAGCAAAAGGAGGGATACTTCTTAACCCACCTGACTTCAAAGAGTCAAGCAACAAGAGTATCAACAACGATAAAATCAATGTCCTGACCCCCGAAGAAAAGGAGTACCACCCGAATCGATCCGACGTTTTGCACGACTCGTATGCACAAGCTTTCGAACGAAAATTCTAACCGGCATCATCCTTCCTGTTTCAGGCAAGAAGCTGAAGTGTCCGTTCTGCGAGAGACTGTACGGCTACGAGACGAATCTGCGCGCCCATATACGACAACGTCACCAGGGCATCAGGGTGCCCTGTCCGTTCTGCTCGCGGACGTTCACGCGGAACAACACCGTCAGACGGCACATAGCGCGGGAGCACAAAGCCGAGCTCAATCTGAAGGCCTTCCAGCAGTCGAACCACTCGGTGTCGGACACGGTGCCGCAGTAAAACGACGCGTCCACGTCGTAGCCGTGGCCGTGGCCGTCGTGGCGGCGATATCAGCCCCGTGGCTGCGCAAGTTACCAGCGAGTGGCACGGAAACGAACGCGGAGGGACTTGGAGGACGAGAACTGAGCGATGCAGGAACGACGGGCGAAGATACCGCATGGTTCACCTTTGCCCTTCGTCGTTGGTCAACGTCGTCCATATGCCAGGTCGCGTCCGAGCGGCTCTCCGGATACGTCGTCCCCATCGAGAAGTCGCGAACGCTGCAACTGACAAGCGGCAAGCTCTCTAACCGAGGGACGAGAGCCTCCGACTCGGATCAGAGGATCGCAAAGGGCCGATCCTCGCGACCCCCTGGGTCAACGCGGCGATCCGTTCGCGATAGTTGTCAATTACGCTGCTGGAGCGTCCAGTGGTCGACCTCGTGTCACGAACCGACTGCTGAAACCGTCTCGAGGCGTATCGCGCCCAAGGAATTTCGGAGAATGCGAAGGCGAATCGTTTGGCTCGTGGTTGATCAGTCCCCCGAGGCGATCAGAGACCACTCGGGGACTCCCCGTTGCGACTGGACGAGCCTCGCTTCGGTCCACGCGCATTTTTTAAGCCATTTTTGCAGACCTGGAGTTGTAAGCCTCTATCGCGGAACGTGCTCGATTTTACTCGCGGGAGATTGAATCTCTGTGTAGAGTTCATCGAGGGAAAGAGGATTTGTTTAATTCCTTATGAATGCATTTGATATGTCTGCAGATACAGACACGTGTCTCTGTGGAGTTCACCGAGGAAAATTTGCTTGCTGTTTCCTCGTGGATGGATTTAATAGGCTTGCAGATACAGACGCATCGCTGGAAGATTAATTAACGCGATAAGCAATGGTCATGTACGCGTAGCTGATTCTCGTCACGGGCCAATGTCACGTGTATAAGTGAATACATGAACTGTAGACCAGTGTTAAATTATACGCGATGTATTCGCAATATTCAGCTAGCCTATGTAACCCAGATGTTACAATTGTTTTCAAAGGAATGGTACTAAGATTTTTGTAGCGTATAACACAGCTAATGCAGACTGAAAGTCATCGAGTGGAAACTTCAAGTACAAGTACATTTGATCCATAGTTTAAATGAATTTCAGCGGAAGCACTTTAGTAATATCTGGGTCGATGCATTTTATCAATCCATGAGCCGCTCGTTGCATTAATCGATTAACTCCATAATACAAAAAAATTGAGTAATGCGATGAAATAAAGTACATTGTTTTTTAAAATTCATTGTAGAATGCATAAATACAGATGTAGCTTTCATCTAACGGTATATAGAAAATTAATAAGAAAGAATAGCCAAGAAATAACCCTCAGTAATGTTACAATTTTTATGTGACTGGTGGAGTTAATATATTTGTGTAGCGAACGGTTCGTACAGTCCTCATTATGTAAGAACCATGAATGCGCCATTCGAAACTGGACAATAATCTACATTAATAAGCTCGCAGTATAACTACCGTTACTACTCGATGCACACGTGGATCTTAACCCAAAGTTAGGGATCCAAACAAAAAAAATCATTCAATGGTGCACATATCTCTACTCAACAAAAATAAACATTATCATTCCATGCATGGTTCTGGGATAAAAGGGACTGTGCGTTAGTATCCGTTAAATTAAATACAATGGCTACGAACATGGCCCGTGGCGAAGAGCGTTAGCAAATATGCGCAACCAAGAAATCTTTTTCAAAAGAAAGAAATGGAGCGCACGCGATAGAGGGTTGAATTCCGGGTCGGTTCTCCGCGAACCAACCGCGGAAGGAACGGACGTCGCGCGAAACTCGGACGTGGCAAGGAGGCGTTGACCATGAAATAGGAAAATTGTCCCGGTGATCGGATCACAGAAGACGGAAGAGAGAAGACGGAAATGGAACAAGGAAGAACGAGGAAGGAAGTTTAAGGGAAGGAAGACACGGAAACGAAGCACGGGAAAACGTCGACGTCCGATTGCTCTGAGCGTAGCTTGCACTGAGGTACGAGGGCGGGTGGGTGGGTGGGATGGCATTGGGTTCACCGGGGGGCCCGGGGGGGGGGGGGTTATCGCGCGCCTCGGACACGCTCGCGGATACGCTGCAAATCACAAAACTAGTCAATGAAAGTGCAACGTCAAAGTAAGAATTATTAACTCTAAACGTTTAATGAGCGCGATGAAGAAGCAAATAGAAAGAGTTGAGGGAAGCGGACACCGGAAATGAACCGACAAATGGCGCGAACGGAGTCACGTTCGATGCGGATTCGCCCCCCGAGACCATCATTTGTAAGGAAAGTGTCTCGGGCGAATCGTAAAGCCGTGAACGTGACTTTTTTGGTATTTTTTTTTTATCTCTTTTTTTTTTGTTACGAATCCGTTCTCAGTTTATTCGACCAACTTTTGGTAGGACGAGTAGGGTCGTTCTGGCAACGATGGTCGCACGATGAACGATATATTACCGACCAAACACGGTGCTAGCGCCGTCGCGAAGCAGATGTTGATGGAATAGTGTCTACTGCCGCTACCTTACTCTATTATTCGATAGTTCAACGTTACCGTTGATTAAGAATTATTAACTGCATACCGAATCGCATGAAACCCTGTTACTGATAATATACCTGCAGAGGGATAACTGGTACTGTTAACGCTTCGCTTACCGGTCTGGGTTAGGTTCGACGACCACTGGGAGCCTATTCTTTCGAAAACAACTTGAAAGGACTTTCTGTGTCGGCCCTAGGGTGACTTCTACCGATTTGTCGATTTCTGGGGTCGTTGGAGATCTCTAGATATTATATTTTATCAGATTTGCGTTGGATGGAGTTGCAGTATTTCAAAATTATAACGTTGTCTGTAACGGACATTGGTGTTTAATTGTTTATGATGGATACAATTATAAAAAGCTGTGGAAGCAATTGACTACTTCATCCAGGCACACATAGAAAGACTTTTTTTTTAAATACTTGTCAAACTACCACAATAGATAGCTATCTGCAAGTACTCGTCCATGAGATTACGCTTTAATACATGCAATTAACACTCACAGTCAGTCCCATAAATATTCGTAGCCTCTTTATCTATTGAAGAAATTTGTTTAAATTAAATGGTCGGTTTGATGTTTCCAAGTGCATGTTTTTATGAATATGTTGATATAAATATATACATGTATAAACTTATTCATACACATATTTATAATGAAAAATTCATTCGATAATATTAAAACTATTATTTAATTTAGTCAAACTTCTTCGATAGACATAGAGGGTACGAATATTTACGGTATTGACTGTATATGTAATATATAACTAGAACTACTACACGTGATCTAAAACGGATCATTCTACGTCCCAGAAGTCCTCCTAGGGTTGATACATGCCAACCTAGTTTCCATTTTTTTTTTTATTTATAGAGTGTCAAGTTGACAATATTCAAACGTAACACTTGTTTTCTCTATATGTACAATATATACTGCCATCAACTTGTACACTCTATATATCTTTCAACCCGAATACAACAATTCAAGGACCATAATCACGGTCGATAGGCTCCATTAGATAACCTCCGTAATAAAAATAAAAAAACAGCAGCCGGTGAACGAAGCGTTGATTCCTGTTGATGTCGAGAGCCTACGGTCGAGACACAAGTGATGTACATGTTATCTAACGAAACTGTTTACGTTCGCGCGTTAGTGCCAAAAAGATCGGGTACCTTTTTCTTCGCTCTGGATCGGGATCGCATCTTCGATTTGTTCGTTCCCCTCGACGGGACACGGGTAGAACAATTACGCTGGACTTATCGGTGGAAACATATCCAGAATAGGGCAAGCGCGTTACGCCGACACCGACGCGTTTTCTTCGTCTCTTATTTTCTTTGTGTTCTTTTTTTTTCTTTTGTACAGATATACCGTTTTATAAAAGGATTTATGAGATTATTACTACGATTCTAGGACGGGCAGGCTGTCGAGTTACCATGTGTAGGCCACGTGGGCGGATTCTCCAGGGCGAACGCGCGTATCTTTTTTTCTTTTGTACCAAGCGCCGTCTTCGACGAGCCTCGACGATGCAACGAAGAAGGATGCCTTCTCGCCAGCGTCGGGCAACGCGTAATCCGCGATCACGATCGACGAACGATCGGACGCGACTAGATCGCGAGTTACCGATCCACCCGTCGCGGATTACAAACGTAATTTCGTATCCGATATTCGATGATCATCAAAGTCGTTATCTACGATCGCGTAGCAATCGCTGCCCGGCTCTGCTGTCCCGCTATCTTTCCATCGCCGTCATTTTTTTATTTTTTTGCAACGTTCACCGTCGAGGCTCGATCCGTTCGCCTCGAGGAATCGCGGCGTGGCGTTACGTCACGCGAACAATCACTACCACTTTGTTACCTGTTTACAATGTTTAATACGGACTTTTGTCCGAAGCAATAGTCGCGGATCGAGATATATAGGGGATGACAACCAATAGACCAATATGAACAGAGCGCTATAGAATAATTGCTAGACCGGTTGTGTAGGATGTGATCAATGCAATAGTTATATTACATTTACCTATAGATAGATTATATACATAGATACTCCTAGTCAGGATGGCACCACGATATTACTTGTTGCAGTATTGACACGTTTATTGACAGACTTTTATCTTTCTTTTTTACTTCTACCCCGTTCTTTTTTTCTTCGCTTTCTCGTCTCGTTTTCTTTCCTACAGGATTATTCTCTCGTTTCTCTATTTTATTTTTCTGTTATTACTTTCCGTTGCTTTTTTCTCCTCTTTTTTCTTTCTTCTTTTCGTTACGTTACAGATGAAGTTTAACAAGAATTATCTCACAACGATACGCCTACCGCGAAGGTATCAAAGACAATAGACGAATAGAGAATTATTTAGTATTTAAAAGATCATACGCGAGCTAGAATATATATATTATTATATATATATATATACACACACATATATACATATATACAAGAGAGACGTTAGACGCCGTCGAATTTTCCGTTCAGTTTGTTTTCCGCATCGTTCTTTATCATTTCTGTTTTCTTTCTTTTCTCTTCTCTATTTTGCTGTTGGTTTTATGTTCGTTCGTTTATCCACTTAAGATACGTCAACAAAAGATGATACGTAATGACAGTTAACTACCTCATCGTTTTATAATAACGCATTAACCAAACACAGGGAACACTGAGCGACCACAGTAATATTTATACCTGTACATTCCGTACAGCCGCTGATACTTGTCCGGTTAGCGTCGGAACTATTCTTCTGCTGTTATACCCTGCGAAGAGGGTACGAGGGCGGATCTCGAGGCTTCTCGTGGCGAATTCCTCTATCTTCTACGATGCAGCGAGCAATATTGACCGAGGCGGCATAGTTGTTGCCAGATATAGATAATCGTGAGGTCTCGGAGCTTCTAGGAACCGAGGGACCGTCGTTGAAGTCTCCAGTTCCTCGTAACTCTCTGCCGAGGATTCGAAATGAACTCGCTGCTCGAGGTCACTTAGTAACTTGCAAACTGTCCTAATAATTGGATAATCGAGGGAAGATAGAATTTGTCTGCAACTAGAAATTAATCGAATCGAGTTTGGTTGAAGATTATAGAAAATGGCATGCGTGTCTTTTTCTGTAATAACTGATTTGTTTAAAATAATTGTTCTTACCATTTATTTTGTTTAAATACACTACTCCGAGAGGTCTAGAGAATTTATTTTAAGGTTTTGTTTGAGAGAATGTTCAACTATCGAGACCTCTTTTGTCACTCTTTATTTTGAATAATAATAGGGAATTCTAGGTATTACTTTTTACCTACAATGTTATATGGAGCATTTTGTGGAGTACAAACGGTATATATTATTTTTTCGTAGTTATAAGAATTTACTTGACATTTAAATCCTCAAAAAACAGGATACTGATAGTTGAAGTATAAGTACGTTTAAACATTAATTTTTTTTATTTTCATTTCTACGATCAATGGGTTAGGACAAATACAACTAACATTTTTGTATCTGAAAAAATTAATTTCCCACATCTTTAAATGCATTTCCCGCAATTTTAATGCATCCCGCAAATTCATCAAACATATTATATTCTCACAATACCAACGACAAAAAACTGTCTGAACTATTTGCCACGTCCCAATAATTCCACCCTCTGAAAGTGACCTCGAACATCGACTTGATCACGATCCTATCACAATGGTACAAACGTTTACACAAAGTAGTTTTCACAGAAATCTCTTTACTCGCATATTCCAAAATGGAATTTCCATCCAACGAAAGGCCTTCGAGATCGTCGACACACGTGATATATAAACTCTACATATTATATATATATACATATAATAGATCCGTTTTTTTACAAAGCCGCAATTATTGCATACGTACAACTATGTGTAACTGACGACTAGAGACAGTGAGCTACACGTGAGTGTAGATGTGTGCCTGTGTGTATGCGTGTTAATGAGAGACCGCGTGATTTCAAAATCGAGCGTGTTTTAATCCGTGAGACAACCACTTGCGATTTCATCGTTCAGCGGTGATGATATTCGGGCGTTCGATTCCTAAAACGATTTCAGGCGATAGATTTCGACGTAGAGTCCAGAAAGGAAGAATAGTGTCTACGACGAACGGGTGGGAGAAAACGAAACAATTGAAAGAGAGGAATAACAAACGAAGTATCCGTTTTTTAGAGGGCGGGAAACCGAATGAAATGGCGGGTGGCGTTTTTTTGAAGGGGTGTGAAAACGATTTCGGGGAGGGAACGTCGACGAATTTCGCGGCTCGCGTTTTCCGATCGTCTCTAGACTGATCAGATTTTCGGCCGAGAAGAAAGGTAAACAGCTGGGGGGGGGGGGGGATGCTGGCGAACGAAAGGAGCAAAAAGGATGCGTGACGTTTGGAAATGGGAAAAAAATCCAAGTGAAAAGTTTGTTCGAACGAGGGTGATACTGATACCGAGGATGGGCTTTGACGCATTTAGACGACGTAAATTAGTCATAGAGG